CCCCCCCCGGACCCCCCCCCTCGAGCCAGCGCGTGGTCTGCTAAGTCATAATATATGTACTTAATTTTTAAAAATACACACAGAGAGACTACCCATTCGAGATATACCCACAGTCGAACGGGATGTGGTGGAGTCTTTTCAGTGAGTGGAGGAAACCGGCTGGGTATTGTATGCAACTGTTCCGGCGGGGCTATCACACGTGGGCTTAGAAGACGGCAATGAGGCCTCAAACAGACATCCTCTTCGCCATATAACATAAATGCCCACTTCTTTACTCCAATAAAATCCGATTTCAGACTCCTCCCCCCTTTGGTAGGATCCATCTGAAACTCTCGCTTTACAGTATTGTATTTTTCCGAAAGTGTCATTTTTATTATTATTTTCCACGAAGTCTGGAAGGTAACTCACTGGCAAATAACGAGGGGGCGACACCGATCGCCTCCCTCTCTCATCCAGGATCCAAGCTTCCCTTCCATGTCAACTGGCCGGGCCTAACAAAATGCCGTCTCAGTATACCGAGACCCTAAATGGTACTCTACCATCGACATCAACCAACATCGTGCTTGTCTGTGCATATACAAACCGTTCCGGTCTCTGCTCACGAAGTTACCTTCTATCATCCGGGGCAACTGACACCGACGCCTTCCGTGGCCACAGGCCAATCATGCATGATAGAAGTAGAATACTTTCGAAGGCTTGGAAGAAGAACTACCATGCATCAAAGATCACAAATCAAGAGAGCAGGGACCCCGCCTCCGGACGTGTGGATTTTAGGCCGTATCAAGAACCAAATTGTTTGGCCCTTCGTCTTCTTGAGGAGAGGAACACGTGTGCTGTGACGCTGTGACCTGGCCTACTACACAGGGTCTACGGGGGGGCTAAACATGGACTAGAGAGGGACGCACCATGCACCGTGCCAGTGCAGGACTCGCGCCGACAAGGGGTTCCGTGTGTACCTGTACCAAAGCGATTCAACCCGCACGCCTGTTCTTGTGTACCACGATACAGCAGCGCAGTTCGAACCTATGAATGCCCCCACGCTACCACACCAGTGTGTTGTGACAGATCGTACGCGTCTACCATGGCCACCCGCATCCGACAAGGCTCCTAGGCTGCTACGAGGCATAAATACATGCTCTAACAGTAGTGCTCGGACATCTAGATACCCCCGGGACGATCACGGGAGAGGGGGCCACTACTGTAACCGCATTGGACACATCGTAAGCGCGAACGAATATCTGGAGAAAATTAACCCGGACACACGGCCGCACCACACCTTTCGTTCTGCGTTTGGCTGATGGGTATCGCCACCTGGCAAATTAGAAGAACAGCCAGCACCGCCAGGGAAGCCTTGACAGCTCCTCTATGTCGTAGCACACGTGGGTGAGTCATTCCAGTACTCCAAGCACGCTCCTTCCGCTGGTGTCAGGTGTATTGCCAGTCTCTCCGCTGTTCCGCTCGGGCGCGGCCCACCCGTATTCCGGAACCCCCACGCCCCCCCTGTCTCTTGCTTCCGTTTTTCCGTTCGCAGTGTGGTGTGGTTCGTCAGTGGTTCAGCACTTACACAATGGCATGCGATGTGTTTGTTGTGCCTTTCCTAGGCAGAAGCACTGTTCTAGTCAAGTAGTAGGCTGCGCTATCTGTCAGATGTCATATTTTACACACAGCACACAGCACTCGAGCGCTCGAGCACTCCGCTACGCCGCTAAAACGGAGCTGTTCGTACTCGGTTCCATTGGAAAACGCCCCACGAACCATCTGAGAACCCTACTTTTGCCCAACCGCAACACACGCTGCCCTACCACTACCACGGCCACAGACATCTTCTTCACACTCGCCACTCGCGTTCGCTCTCTCTGCTCTGTCGAGCGATGAAGCTCCTCGTGATTGTCGTGTTCCTGGCGGCGAGTTTCTGCCATGGGTTCGTTGTGCCATCGGCGGGTCTGCGCTTCGCACCGTGCTCCGGGAGGAAGTCACCAATAGGCACACCAGGTACATATGTAACTCGGTGTGTGTGAGCCAAACTGAAACATGAACCGCCTCTTTCTTTGCCCTGGTGTGCTTGGCGGACCCTCTGCTTTGCATTTGGTGGAGTATGTAGCGCATAAGACCGAATATGGCAAGCATCCGCCGAGTCTCGTATTTGTAGGGTCAAGCACAACAATGCATACAAACAAGGGCGGCCAATCTGATAATGAAGGTACACAGCAGTAATTAGCCGCTGTGCTGGCTACCTATGCCGTGGCACAGAGGAGTCGATCGGTGCGCATACAGGTCTCGGCATGTCCTTTGTGCTTCAGCCACTCCAGCAGTATCGCTACGCACAGTACCGTACATTGCACAGTAATGCCACCCGCGTTTTAAGCACAACCACAAAGAGGACTCACCCGCTGCACCACTCCGTGATGCCAGCACCAACCAGCTGTACAAAAAGAGTCGACAATGTGTCTCGTCCTTTAGTCTGGCGCCAGCCTACTGTACCCATCTTTCGGTGTGTAGACAACAGGTTTTGACGTTTTGACGATACTGCTGTGCTTTTACCTATGAAGGGATTGGACCACGGCGGGTGGGTGTGATTCTGTGGATGTGCGAGACTAATCAGCGGTATGCTACCTCTGTTTCTTCTGCTGGGCTGAATCGCATGCGCTTGAGATCTCCGCTTTTGAAATCCCGCTTCTCTTCCTGATTTCCCAGGGACAGGGTAAGCTATCTCCGATTGATTTTGGGCATAAACGCTTGTGTAGTACGGCCATCTCTCGCCGAAGCACGACCAAACCGGTGTGACTAAGAGTGCACTTTTTTTCCTCCTCAGAAGCCAACAGATCGTAAATCGGTGCCCTATACATCTCGTTCTGGTCGAAAAGGAGGGTTTTATAAGCCCCCCGGAAATAAAACTTGGGCCCCTGCATCGCGTTGGAACATGCCGATATTTAGAGCCTGTTTTTCCCTCCTGGGACGGACGGAAAAGAACGGTCGCGCTCGCGCTCCGCGGCTCATTACAATGTTGTCAAGTGTTGGGACAGCGTTAAGGTGAATCTTCCGACGTCAAGGTGTTACAGAGATGAAAGTAGCTACAGAGTTGGATGTTGGCTTCTTGTGACGTTCTTCGTAGATAGTCCTTCGTGTAACGTTGTTCGCTGCCAGCTTCCAAAACATCGTGGCCGTATCAATGTTTGTTGTTAGGTCGCCACAGAGGAACTGCTGCTAACGTTCGCATGTTCGACGAGGTTGGGCCGCAGTTTGCTAACAACTTGGTGCAGCAGGAAGGATGGGCCTACGTCGACGGTGAGATGGTCACAGCACGTGTCCGAGGGAACGACCGGTGATTTCATGTTTCTTAGGAGGCTAAGTTGAGGTCTACAATGCGTCTCTTGATTGGAGGGGGCGCGCTTCACGTTTTGCAGAAAATAAAACCATATTTAGCGATCTAGTGTAGACACCATGGTGCCTTGTTTCGAGTGGGAACGATCCTCGCGTATGTATGCGCTCTATCATCCGTCCCGCCCTTGTCAGATCCCATCTTAAGTGCGTCCTGTCCATTCACACAGCTTATGTGGCCGGGGTGTATGTTCTGAACAGGCTCCGTGCTCTCCTTCTCTACAATGCTTGCCGTCTTGCGCCTGCAACACCTCACTCTCTTGCTTCTTTCTTCGGTCTGGTTAAATACATGTATCGCCGACAGTTCGGGCGGACTACGAGTTCGAGCACGGACGCCCGGCTGGGGCCGTCAATGTCCCGGCCTTCTTTTCGACGGCGCAGGGGATGACCGTAAACCCGGACTTCGTCGACCAGGCGAGATTGTCCTCCAGATAATGCATGCGATGCTTCCTGCTCGCGAGAGTTGTCCTGGAGTTGAAAAGGAGCACGCGTCTGTTGTGGGATTCTGTTGCCTAGCTGATACTTACTCATAAAGCTGCTGCACAACTTACTGTGCAGGGATGTTTTTCCAAGCAAGTCAGAGAGACAAAGAGAAAAAAGAATTACTAACGGAGAGCGAGAGACAGACACAGACACAGAGGCAGAGACCGAGACAGAGACGGAAAGGCCTTTCCTCGTGAGTTCTGATGTCTTGACGGGGCAAAAATTTGTTTTCCAATTGAAACCGGCCTGCTTCCCAATCTTCTCGTGAATTTAGTGCTTGCACCCGCACACGTTCACCACAGTTGTATTAGGATGAGTTGCCCTTTGTCACAACAATCGTCAACAATAGTTTCGACGGTAGACAGCAGTGCCAAACGCACTCTAACGAGCTACCAGTATTGCAACACTACGACCTTTTTTTTTTCCTTCCTAGGGTACCTGTGACGGTCAAACCCTCACATAGTGTGGCTTGGATGGCGATCTGTGAATACAGTATATACCAGTGAGGATTGGTGATTGCTCTTTGGAGGAGGACTGCATGAAATTCCCGCGGTGACTAGAAAGACGATTGCGCTCTGCTTCACATGAGCCGACTGTCGGGTTTGGAGCACTCACTTTTGAAGGCGGGCCAGGGTCGGAAGAGGGTAGTCTCCACTTTTGCACCAACAACAAGGCAACACGTCCCGCCAGTGCCGATTGTTGTTCGATTTTGCCCTGTGCTGTATGGCCTGAGTGAGCCAGGCGTTCTATGTTGGGGTGGACACCGTGTTCCAACGGGTGAGCGTGTTCGCTTTCTTCTCCCCCACAATCCACACCAATGAATACCGAGGCAGATTGCTGAGAAGTTCCCAGACAAGGCGGCGAAGCTTGTGATCGGGTGCCAGATGGGGAGCAGATCCGCGCAGGTACGACTTGATACTCCGAACAATGCACCAGCCGCAGCAGCAGCGGCAGCAGCAGTAGGGACATAGCGGGAGGGAGCCTTGCCCGCTTTGTTTTATTTTTTCAAGGTTGCGGCGAGGTTATGCCAGAGATGGTGACGGTGATGACGGTTTGCTGACAAGGGCAGAGAGAGAGAGAGAGAGAGAGAGAGTCCATCAGCCAATATCGTCGATGGTCTTGCCCTGCTGCGCTCGCTGACTTTCCCGCCTGGCCTCTACCCACAGGCGGCAGGATGGCTGGAGAATGCGGGCTATTCAGGGGTTGTCAACATGGAAGGTGGATTCAGCGCCTGGGCCAGAGACGATAGCCTCCCCGTAGAAGTGTAGTTCTCCTGTAACGCACGCTTCGGCGTGGGAAAACACGATGAATTTGGAATTTTCCCGTGATGGAAGCCGAGTTCGGGGTTCGGGCAGTGCATGTCGAGGCTGGCCGCGGACAGGTAGACTACTGCCACAGCAGGATAAACGTGGTATACGTTGTCCAGGGTGATCGTCAAGCGCCTGTGGTAGGATGGAATACGACCTCTCCGTGATGATGGGATTACGCTGTCTTGCACTACAAACCCAAAGCGTTGTCGCCTAGCCGTTGGAGTTGCCGTTGTACCCGCACCCGAAAACTGTGCACTTTCCTTTGGCGGCATTGGCTTTGTGGCGACGCGTACGGGCGTCGGGATGTCGGCTCTACTCGGGTATTCGCTCTGTGTCAGGAGCTGTAGTGAAACAGGTGGGCCTTTCGCTTCAGTGGTTGCAGCCCGTGGACTGACTCTGTTGCATGATATCATGTTCGACTTGTTGACTTGCTTGCATTGTTCTAGGGAACAGTTTACCCAAGTGCTTAAGAACCTGGTGTTTTTTTTTTTTTTTTCTCGTAGGGGATCCCTGAGGTTGCTGGATGAGTGCTGCCGTCATGAATGACTTCCAGCGCGACGCGACAACTCGTTGTCGGTCACCGTGTAAACCAAAGATCTCTCGACACTGCTGTACCCATTGCGTAGTTGACGCTGCATCCCTCTTATACTCCTGCGTGGAAGAGAATGGAGGAACGGGGGTTCGGGTGTTCAAGCTGTCTTGTACGTTCTGAATGGTCAGAGGTATGGTGACTGATGTAGGTTACTCGGTGGCTTTGCGTTGTTGCCTGCTGGTGATACTCGAATGTAGATCAGTAGCTAGTGCTGGTGTGCTCGGACGAAGGACCGATCATTCTACATCACAACGTGCCACCGGTCACCAGTGCGTTTTGGTTCTTCGACAGATATTTCCTGGGTTGATATCATGTGTGGCGCTGGGCTCCTTGTACAGACTTGACCTGCAACACATCTCAAACTTGTGGTACCATACAAGATGTGCGGACCTCGTGTACTCTAGACTAGGCACGGCTGTTTGTGTAGCAAGCCGCACACCCGTGCTGCAAATCGAATGAGGCCAGTCTGTGGCAATCGCGCCGAGACCCAAATATATATACCGAAGCGTGGCTTGTTGCTCTTGATTCTCTCTCTTTTCCTACAGAAGTGCCTCGGGGTGAAAAGTGGGGGGAGGGACATGCGCCGGGTGCTGTATACACACAATCAAGTTCGAAACAAGCGTCCGACCAAGAATGCACTTCGTGGGGTAGTCGCGGGGATTGCTAGCACGACCTACATAGTCTAGGGTCAAGAGTTCTTCTACGATAACAGCAGAAGCCCTTTCTTTCTCCCCAGCCCACCCTGTGCTGACGGGTGATCCGTGTAGAATTCCAGAGAAAACTGAAACGATGTTTTTGTGGGTGTGATCGAAATCACAGACTACAGAGCAAAATCATCAACGGTGTGAGAATGAACTCGAAGGAGCAACCATTGAGGTGTAGAAAACAAGGACGACTGTCTGGCGTACTGCTATCCTCACCGCGCTTCCTAGCGAGGAAGGCGTCGTCATCATCATCGTCCTAGCCGTTCGATGAACACCACCCCACTTTTGCCGGCATTAGCGGCGTCGCCCCGACCGCCGCCGCCGTTGTATCCGCTTTCTTGACTTCACCGCATGAGGATGATGATGGCGACTCCACGACGCGTTTCGACCCCCATGCCCGAGAGCAGCATCGTATGGTGGCCATCATCATCCTCATGCGGTGAAGCCAAAACCGCCGATACGACAAGCGGCGGTCGGGGCGACGCCGCTAATGCCGGCAAAAGTGGGGCGGTGTTCATCGAACGACTCGGACGATGATGATGACGACGACGACCTCCTCGCTAGGAAGCGGTGAGTGTAGCAGTACGCCAGACATGGCCTTCCTTGTTGTACCACACCTCAATTTTGCTCCTATCGAGTTTGCTCTACCGCGCATGAGTGATTGAAGAAAGCTACAGTGCCATCCACGGTGTCCTCCACAACGACTCGTTCGGCGTCATGTCACCTTCACAATGCAGCAACCCGGCCCCTTCGCCTTCCGAAGCGGACATCGCCGTCGAAATGGGAGTCAACGAGATCAAATTTGATGCCCCCCACCACCTGCTAGGGAACCAAGCAGCACGATCTAAACTGCCTTATGCACGACACACGCAGCTGTCCACCTAGCCGGACGGTGGGCAAACGTGTGTACGGGTGTTACAGGGTGCACACGAGGCGCGCACACCGAAGAACGCTTCGATCGGAAACGGCTGTACATTTTTTCTTTATTCGCTTTTCGCGGCGCAACGGAGTACACCAAAGTTACGTTTCGAGGAAACGGCTGTATTTTTTTGGCTATTCCGACTTCACGGCGTTTTGCGTACGTGCAACGGCCGCGGAAACTCCCCCCTCCCGAAATACTGTAGCTTGCCGTGCACACAAAGAAATATAGATTCTGCGCCGCCAACTTGAGGCGACTCTTTGTCTAGAATGATCATAGGGGATGGGGTGAGGGTCATCAGGTACCACAACAGCAACAGATTCGCCGCACAAGCTCAAATATCCCTCTCGAACGCAATTCAGGTCATTACATCTTCCACGATTCAAGAATGCACGGAGGAATCTCCCTCTTCAATCAAGCACAGTTTTGTTCGCTTCAAAGAAGCAACATCACTTACTTATTATTATCGCTCGGTGCAACTCATCTGATCATCAAAAAGATCCTGTGTGGTAGTCTGTAGAGCATGCGCAACCCACATAACCATTCGGCGACTCGACACAAGAACTGACTACTGGCGAATCGCTATATATACCAAAAACATTTCGAAGACAAGGTGAGGCGGGCGATGCACCCACCGAGGTTCCCCTCGAACAAAATTGATGATGCCAACGCTTGATGATGAGTGCTTCGACAATAGCTGAATTCGTTCTGTGGACTACCCAACTCTGGGAGAGGTTTGCCTGGGCGGGGTGTTGCGTGAGAGCAGCCTCATGGAGTTGTGTCGAAGCGCAAGCAGCAAGCGCATCGACAACCTTCGACTGGGTTTTGTCGAAAATGAACGTATTTTGGTTACTTTAGTGGGCATCATCTACGCATACAAGTCTACATATACATATAACATCTATCTGTAATTTTGCTTGGAGGCCATTCGGTTGGGGCTAATCTTGTTTTCGCTCACACTCCCAACACTATCGCTTCCGCTTTCCGACACAAGACAAACATGTCACGAGCTGCAACCGGAGCAAGGAAGATGAATGACACCGCCGTCAGGGTCGGCGTCTCGGAGCAGGTCGTGTATCACCCATCGCAAAAGCAGCTCCGAGAGCTGCTGCAGATACTCATGGGCACCCCGGCCGGCGTTGTGCAACAGGTGGGGTACTTGTTGATGCTCTTCGTCGCGGTTGTCAAGGCCGACTCGCCCGCCACCGACGCCGGCGACGGCAGTGGCAGCAGCGGTGGCAGCGGAACCGGCGACGGCAACTGCGGGAGTCAGCCCCAGGTTGCTCGCAGTGCTGCTGGCCGGCTTCGCGACACCAAGGCCGAAGAACGGAAGGAAGCAATTCTCCTCCTTCAGACCGCGCACAAGGAGTTGAAGAACAACAAGACCAGGGGTGCGGGGAAGGGCGGAAAGGGTGGGATGTGGGATGTGCGTGTCGACCAGAAGCGGCCCTAGCGACGAGGCCAAGGCGAAAGGACTTCAGAGGTGGGCCGCCAAAGGCAAACGGCACGTTGGACAGCTGCAGCAGCTTTTTCTTGGGTCCGGTGTGGCAGTGAAAGGTCGACAGGACCACGCCCGCCTGCTCAACTTCCACACGAAGCGTATCTCCAGCGAGGAGGTCAAGAAGGTAACGGCATCGTTCGTTTGAAGAGTACGGCCGAGAACAGAGATGGTACACTTTGCCAATATGTCAAACATGTTGTGATCCTCGTGGGCGAATCCCACCCCCCGTGGTTAGCGCACTCGTCTCTATCAATTTAACCACTGCTTTTAGCGATCGGAGATAACATTGTTGGATATCTGGGGGGAAATCCTGTGGAGAGACCCACGTACGTCCAGGCGCGCATATGCATGTATGTATGTATCTGTGGACATAGGTTGCGTTTGGTAGTTTAGTCCAGGCTGATAAAAGTTGAAATATTCCTTGCTTTTTCCCGTGACCAACATCATCTAACCTATCTATCGAGCCGACAACAGACGTAAGGCAAGCGGTTCCTCACGTGATTTCGTTCTCGATTAAAAAAAGACGAATGAGTATGCGCGAGAAACGCTAGTCTCGGCCGAGAACGAAGATCATCACTAAAAACAACTTTCGATCTCTATCACGATTTCGCCTCACATGTCTGTCTATCATATGCGGTGGTAGGGATCATCGGCCGCGGCAGCCGCCTTCGAGATGATGAAGGCCACCATCAACAGCGTCCTCAACACATGCGGCGAAGCAACGTCCGCCGATACGGCAGCGGCGGGGCAGCGTTCCTCGGACGGTTCGGACAACGACGTTGGCGACGAAGACCCTTTGGCTAGCAAGCGGTGAGAAGCAGTGCAGACTCCAGACACGTCCGAATCGTTCCACAGTCGAGCTCATTCTTGCCGCTGATTTTGGTCTGTACTATCTTTGAATGATGTCGATCGCACCTACGTCTCTTTGACAAGATCGTTTCACTAGTTAGTACTACTGCAATTCTGCACGCGCCAAAGCAACGACGATTGATTCCCGCCCCCCCTCCGTCCATTCCCTCCACCACACCGTTGTTCGCCGCCGCCTCGTGATAGGTCGAACGGCTTCTCGGAACGAATCGGGGTGGGGGCGGAAAACGTGATCTCCGCCCCAAGCCCCCCGTCGGCGTGCGCCGACGATGTGACGGACGACGACTCTGAGGCGACACCAACCGAGACGACGATGGGAAGGCCCCCAAGGGGTGATGCGGGATCCAGCCAAAAGACTTCGGCAGAAAGTGTTGCGGGACGACAGATGATCACCCTCGACGGGCACATGCCCACCGGTAAGATTCATTAGTTCTTTGTTCTTTTCTTCTCAACCCCATCTATTTGCCGTCGCTGGCAGTTGTTCAGGTCGTACTTTTCTAAACAATTTTACTAAACAATATACCCTGCAACACACGTTAACAAGAAGCAATCGCCCGACTTTTTCTTTCCTTCCCTAAGTGCTCGTCTCCGGCATCGGAGGTGCTACCGCAACCGTGCCGGAGGCAGCCCGCGCGATGGCCGCTCAGGGAGAAGGGATCACCAAAGACAACCGGATGGCGCGAGAACTCAAGTCCCTCAGGAGGTGAGAATTCTCTGTCGTATTTTAGGCAGGTCGTTCGGCATACACCATAATTGTTTGCGTGCATACGGCATTGCCCTGCGTACACAAGAGTTGCTTGCTCTCCCATTCTTGTCACAAAGTAGTACTTGTTGGGGTTTGCGGCACCAAATTGCGAACTCCCTCTACTAAGAAGTCATGACCCGCATCATCTACTGTCAAGAGAGTGATATTCGCTTCTCTACGAAGAAAGAGAAGTTACTTTTCAGACCAACCGCAAGCAGTAGAGTAGCGGTTGAATCAGTGGCTGCAAACGCACTAAGATACAGAAGATGATTCCGCTGTCGTGGTGACTACACTCTCCCTCCCGGTCCATTGATCCGGCCTCCTGCTGCTATCTATCTCTCCGTACTTGTTGCATGTACGTCCAGCCTCGGCTCCCCCCACTACACCATCGAGCTGGCCGGTCCCCACGACGGCAGCGACTTCCTGACCCTCGCCTTCGCCAACGCCGGCCTCGACCTGCACGAGATGCTGGCCGATCCGCACCTTCACGAAGGCATGTCCAACCTAGACATGATGAGGTGAGCACCACACGAAAATTAAGGCAAGCAGGCCGTTTGTCCTTGATTGTTGATTGTTGGTTCTCCGACGGCATTATGATTCGTACGGCTCCTGATCATGGTTGAATTTCGTCGGTCCTACTCGGTACTAAGTCGTTCCTACCCACATACAAAGTGTTCGGTATTTTTCCTTAACTGCACGTGTTGTGGCGTGTATTTTGCTGGTTCGTCTCACACAGGCTCTTTGGAGGTCTCGTCATCGGGGTCTTGAGCATTCACGACCAAGTCTTCGCTCACGGCAACATCAACCCGAAAAGCGTGCGGGTCGTCTCCGGCGAAAACGCGAGATGGGTGATCCGCGACTTCGGCAGTGCCGGAGGTTCGTTGGTTTGGTGTGAGAGTTTCAAACAAATCGATCAAGCCATGGACTGCCTACGCAAAGAGAGCAAGTTCATCACGAAAAAATACCAGGCAGGGGGTTAGCAGACCCCAAACATAGCCCGAGCCCCAACTTAAGACGATTCTATACTTTGTTCAGGATGTTTACTTACTTAAGAAACACTGCGTAGACTAGTGGGTGCAGAACTCCACACATGACGGCGCTGCCCCGATGCGTACTCCCACACGTTGTGTTTCCGTCCCGTCCCATCCCATCCCATCCCATCCCATCCCATCCCATCCCATCCCATCCCATCCCGTCTCATGGTATGCCGTCCATTTGCACCATATTCTTCGGGCAAAATGTATCTACCGGCGACGTAGCACCGGTTCAATTAATGATCGTTTTCGATGCGATTGTGTTTGATGCTCTGAGCAGTACTAGGAAAGGACCACATTTCCGGGGGGCTTTTCTTCGAGTACCTTGCCCCCGAGGCAATGGCCTACGCCACCGAAGAGTGCAACACCCCCGTCCTTCTCCGGGAGAGTATTGACGCCTACGCCCTCGGACAGATATGCTACCAGGTCCTCGCACGCGACCCCATGCCTCCGCTATCGGCAGAGGTGAGGGTGCTTTGTTTGGAGGTTCGAGATTTCTTGTTCGGAGGTTCGATTGTTTGTGAAACCGGTCGCACCATGTTGTCACCGATGTATTGGTCTGTGAGCGTGTGATGTACGACCCATGAAGGGCAAGACAGCCAACAAGAGCAGGACAAGCCACAGCAATTAACAATAGCAGCAGCAAGACACAACAACCGCATCTCAACTTTTTCATCGTTCTACCTCTCCCCCCCCTGTCCTGCTTCTTCTGGTCCGCTTTGCTGCCCCTGCTTCGGATCGTCGATTAAGACGAGATCCGTCGAGACGGAGGTTGAGACGCGAAGGCCCACGAAGGAAACCATCTTGAGCCCGGAGGTGTTCAGGCCGCCTTCACCCCTCCTGTTCAGGGAGCACGTGAGTCTCGACGTGTGTCTGCTGCCCACCCACCCATCTCTATCTACACCAAGCTCGCCTTGTTGATCGGTGCGCAGGGGGGGGTAGTAGATGCTTAGACTCGGATGCCTGGTTGAAGCACAGGGCGGTTTCCTTTCGCCATTATTTCTAGCTCCATCCCTCCAACAACGAACAGGCAGGGCGTTTAGATAGTGGTTGAAAGTTGATCTCGTTCGGGGTAGAATCGAACCCCTACCCAAGCCTCTTTTAGAACTCTGACTACGACGGCTAACCTTGCTCCGGTTCAAATTCGTTTTGTGGTCATCGCGAAAACCCATCGCCAACACCACGCAGCTCTACCGCCTTAGCGATAGCAGCTTCACTTAGACCCTGAACACAACAACGACATTGACACGGGGCTGTGCCTCCCGGCGCTATTATCGTTCAATGATTCCTAATCGGTCGCCGCATCGCACCCACAACATATCTCCTCTGAATTACAGACCGTCCGTATTCTCGCCGGCCTGCTGCACGACGGCCCGTCTGAGCGTCTGATCGTCCGGGCGCTCCACGAGTTTGCTTCATTCGAACCGCTCTGGGAGTCCCAGCCATCCCAGGGGCAGGAGGAGCACAGCGGCACGCCGGCACCGCCAGCTCAGCAGGAGGCATTGCCACAGGCAACCTTGGGGGAGCCTGAGAAGGATAGGGCCTCGGTGGGCACGAAGAGGGCTCACCGCGCTGCGTGGGCCCAGCCGACCCTCACGCCGAAGAACGTCGCCCTGCTGCGGGAATCGCCTCACCATCCTCACGCGAACAGCGACAGCCATGACACGGACGACGGCATCGCCAACAACAACAACGATGCCAAGGGCGACAGCGGCACCGATGATGACTCCACCTCTGTGTCCGGCTCCATCTCCGACCGCGACTCGGACTCACACTGCGACTCCGACTCTGTCTCCGGGTCCGACTCCGGCAGCGACTCCGATGACACGGACGACGGCACCAACGACAACAACAGCGATGCCAAGGACGGCAGCAGCACCGATGGCGATGGTAGTGAGGAGGAGGAGAACGACGGCGGTGGTGGTGGTCACAGCGACTCCGACTCCGACTCTGTCTCCGGGTCCGACCCGGGCAGCGACTCCGACTCCGGCCGCGACTCCGACTCCGGCCGCGACTCCGACTCCGACTTGGACCGCGACTCCGACTCCGACATCGACGACGACGATGATGATGAACCTCCATCACCTTTGGTGAGCGACTTGGAGGATGAGTGCTTTGACGAAGTGCGCGCACGTGGTCGACTTGTTATTGGTGTCGTCAGCATCTTCGACTCCGACTCCGACTCCACCTCTGTGTCCTACTCCGACTCCGACTCCGACTCCGACTCTGTCTCCGGGTCCGACTCCGGCAGCGACTCCGACCACGACTCCGACTCCGACTCCGGCCGCGACTCCGACTCCGACCACGACTCCGACTCCGACTCCGACCGCGACTCCGACTCCAACCGTGGCTCCGACGGCGGCGGCGACGACGACGACGACGATGACGACGAACCTCCTCCGCCATTGGTGAGTCACCCTGAGGATGCGTACTACGACGAAGTGTGCGCACGTGGTGGCCTTGCTGTTGGTGGCGACTACAACAACGGCCGCTCCGACAAGCTGGTGGACGCCTACCTCTGCCTCGAAGAGAGAGCGTACCCCAGATGCAGGGAGGGTTACAAGAGCATCGCCGAGGGCAAGGTCAGGTGGGCCCTGTCAGTCATCAGAGAAATCACCGACACGATAAATGTGCCAACACCCACCATCGTCGTGCTTGCGGCCATCGCTCTCGGGGTGATCGCCGCGATACCGGGATTCCTGAGCAGGCGTAGCGACGAAGACCTCTGCCTTCTGCCCGCGGCGTGTGTATCACACGCAATCTGTCGGCTGGACAAGCTTGACGAGAGCTCCGTTGACCTCTGTGGGACCATGGACCAGATGGTGATCACGAAAGCCGCCTCGGAGGGCAGGGGCAAGAACGGCGGCCCAGGATTTTGACCAGCCAGGCGCCGACGACCCCAAGACGATCTTGCTAGCACTCTTCTATTATCTGATCCTCACCCTGCCGGAGGAGCTCACCTGCCCCGGTCCGATGGACTACATGGAAGTTTTCGCCGAACAGTCCGGCCTCGACCACACCCTTACCAGGCAAGAGCTTGGAGGCGTTTACGGCGAATACGACAGATTCGTTCGCGCCGCCGCCTTGAACGGCCTGCTCCGCACGCTGTCGCCTTCGGACATAGCGCGTGGCGCCTTCTTCGGAGCAGCGGGCGTGTCCATCGTGTTCAGCGAGCAAGGGGCATCAGCGGGGGGAGGGGTCTCGGTGGCCAAGGAGGAAGGGTCTGGCGATGGCGATGGCGGCGGCGGCGGCGGCAACGGCAGCGGTGGGGACGGTGACGACCACGACCACGACCGTGGTCCATAGAGGCCACGGCAGCAGAAGAACGAAGATCGCGCCAGACTCGGTGGCCAACATTCAGCGGAGCCCCCCCCCGCTGAACGGTTGGACCATACATGACAGGGATGGCGGCGGGCGACGGCGGCGGCTCTACCCCGGGTTCCTTCCGCGGTCGGAGGCTGAAGCGGTAGCGGCAGTGGCAGTGCGAAGGACTACATCTGATCTGCCGTGAAGATGTAGTAGTCAGAACCATCGCCGATCCCGTGGTGCCCGGGGTATGGTGGCGTTGCTCAATGGTGGGGACGAGGAGGCGGGGAAGACGGCGGCGCCCGGTTTGGGCGAGGGGAACGAGCGAGGTAGTTCCCGGGTAGACCAGACGGGGAGCTACTTTGTAAGCTCGTTCATTTAAGGGGGTTTTTGTGGGTTAAACTCCTACACTACTTTGGATCGGATCGAATAAGAGTCGATAGATTCCTGGTGCCTACTCCTGGTGGCGACGCCAACCGGATTTGAAACGGTACACGAAAGCGGACAACTCATTTCAAGCTCCGTATAAGTGTGGACAGGGGTCTCCTCCTTGCTGAAAAAAAACATGTCGAGTAGTCTTATTGAATAAACTTTAATAAAGTGGATGATAGTCTGTACAAAGGTGCTTGCTACTTTCAAAGCATATAGACCCACATTTGTGCAACGTAAAATTTTTGTGTAGTACGTTTCTTTTTCAAAGTCGGACAGCTGTGATCGCGCACATATATCGGGTGGGCGTGCTAGTTTCGTCAGGTACTTATGGCTTGGGTTGCACTAGGGCGGCTGGGTATAATTGCTGTAGACGGGTAGACTATTACTCCTGTTCCTCGAAAGAACAGAGTGATTTTAGGAGGCTATTTCGTTGGGAATAGAGAAGGCAGCAGAGGGCGCCAGATATATTTGCTTTTGAGGAAAACTAGGCTGTTCCGCTGTTCCGTGAGGGAAAAAACGAGCATTGAGAGAGCCAATCAGATGGAGAATGTAGCGCCGGATGTCTCCGTACTGCCTTAACGTGGACACCTGAACAACGGTGGGTCGGGAACATACGAGTACCATAATTTGTGGACCCATCAACCGTGGATCGCAGAGGAAGGTCACAGGATTCGGGCTCTTTGAATGCGGGTGGGTGTACACCACGCTCCTGCCTTCTGAGGCGCTCGGACATCATCATTCTTGTCTCGAGAAAGGGAGCAGTCCCTTGCCCTCGTCGACCGTAGAGTCGAAATTTCACCTTTTTCGACACTGTTCTCTTCAAGTACTGGTATGTGACAAGGACATCCGGTGAGAGATTCATAACTAACACGAAGTTGGAACACAGAGAGGTGAACAACCACTAACCGTCCGCGAAGAGCACGATCGACATGCCGTAACGTTGTCGTGCTCACGTGCCTCCTCGTGTGGCATGCATAGGAAAAATATAGAACATTATCGGATAAAAAAAGGGTACAACAAAGCCTCCTTCGGACGGATTTTTTCAATAATTGTCACACGCGGAACATCCCGTCTACACCGCCCGCGCCCTTGCTATCCTTGTCCACGGGTCGGGCCGTGCGTCAGCAACACGCCACGCCACTCCCTTCAACTCTATCGACCACAAACACGAAGCCAGCAGCGGCCCCTACCAAGCGCATCCACGCTACGTTAACAAGGGCAGTGTGAGCCTATCGGTGATTGGTGCCGGCGACTTCAGGCACAACACACGGGCGATGTCGCAAAAAAGCCGCGCTTCAGGCTCGAAATCGACCCGGCACCTCCTGGGGGGCAGCAACGGCCGAACGATGTAGAGCAAGCAAAAAAGGGAACGCGCTCTCGCTTCTCTCCCAGTACGGAAAGTCCGAACCCGTTTCTTTGAGCTAAACCGTGAACACAGCGCAAAAAAAAAAAAAACACAACAGTCCCGTCGGCACGGCCGATAGCTCTTTCCCTACAACAAACTACAAAAAATTGAAAAGCGCAACCCAACGCCAGGCACCCGCGCTGCAGATGATTTGTCGTAGCAATGCCTAAAACAACAAACACACCATGGACCAAGAGTTATGGCTGCGCTTTTGTGGTCCCGGGTCCACGCTGCACGAGGGTGATGCGGTCCCCCAGGGAGAGGGCGATGCCCTGGGTCTTGCTGCGGATGCGGACGTGCCCGCTCAGCTTTCCGTCGGCATCGCTCTTCTTCTCGACGCTCACGTTCACCAGGGCGTCCTCGCCGAACACGCTCATGGCGTACAAGTTCGCCGCCTGCACGGGGGGGGGGGGGGGGGCGGGGTCCGTATAAACAAAAAAAAAAAAAACCCTCCCTTAAAAAAAAAAAAATAAAAGCTCCAAATTCATAAAAAAAAAATTTGTGAAATTTCATCTTAAAAAAAAAAATAATTTTAAAAAAAATGCAAAAAAAAAAAGGAATTTCAAAATAAGAAAGGTTTTTCTCCACTCACTGCTTTAAAAAATCCAAAAAATCCCCTTTCTCTGCTGTGGGTATATCTCCAAAGGGTAAAAGTAATCTTTTTGTGTTTTTAATTATTTTTTCTAACAAGAAAAGAAAAAAATCCTTTCATAAACCACACCCCTCACAAAACCCCAACAAATAAAACAAAAAAAAAACGAAACAAAAAAAAAACAAACACAAAAAAAACAAACACCAACACCGGGCGGGAAATAATTATTTTTTTCCCGCCCTAAACATAAAATGCCTTTACGTAAGGGAAAAAAGCTTTTAAATTTCCCCGGGGACCACTTTTTTGGTAAAATGTGTGGGGGGGATATAATCCTAATCCTGCATGCCCTAATCCTTAAAACATTTACCTCCCATCTCTACAAAACCCGAAAAGAACACCCCCGGTTTTCACCCGAAAAAGGTCAAAAAAAGCCCGTTTGTGCCTTGCGCGTTAACACGCCCAAATTAATCCAAAAAAAAAAAAATTTGGTAATTTAACCTGGTACCACCAATTTTTTTTACCCCCCCTAACGGGCCAACCGCGTTCAAAAAACCGGTTTAACCACTAACTTTAAAAAACAAATTTACCAAAAAAAATTTTGTTTAAAAAAATAAAAAAAAACCCCAAAAAAAAAAACTTGACCCCCTCAAAAAAAAAAAACCGGGCTTGAAAGAATTTTTTGTTTTGTTTTTTCTAACAAAATGTCTTTTAGAAAAACCTTTAAAGTTCCCTAAAAAAA